GACAAAGGCTAGGAAATCAGGCTCAGAAGTAGAATGGCTGCGTTTTAGGCAGCTAAGGAATCACATCACATCACATGTCAAAAGTGCTAAGTCTAAGTATTATCTGTCAGTTACCACAAACAACCTGAACAACCCTAGGACATTTTGGAAAGCCATATCCACCAGTGATATCCGTAATGAGCTACCTCCGTGCCTTACCACAGCATCTGGCTCTATATCGGACAGGGCCACTATGTTAAATTGCTTTAATGAGCATGTTGTGTTCTGTGGCTCTCTGTTTGATTCTGTCACTAACTCTGCTGCTGTGAACACCACAGTCTGTGACTCTGAACAATGTGGTCTGGAAAACCCTTTCAGTTTTACTCCTTTTACTGTTGATGTTGTTCGTGAAGTCTTAACCAAGTTAGATCCTAAGAAACCGGCTGGCCCGGACAACGTAGAACCTTTCTTTTTAAAGATAGCTGCAGATTGTATTGCTCTTCCTCTCACTACTCTTTTTAACCTCTCCCTCAGCACTAACACAATTCCAAAAGTATGGAAGTCAGCTTATGTCCTTCCACTACTAAAAGGAGGGGAGGCCACCTTATTAAACAATTATAGACCCATCTCTAAATTGTCAGTTCTGGCTAAGGTTCTTGAACGCTTAGTGAGTGAACAAGTAAAGGAGTTTTTATGTACAAATTACATCCTATCTAAACATCAATCAGGCTTCAGAACGCAACATAGTACCATCACTGCCACAATGAAAGTGGTGAATGATGTGGCGAGTATTTTAGATAATAAGCAGAGTTGTGCAGCTCTATTTATTGACCTGTCCAAAGCGTTTGATACCGTCGATCATCGCATTTTAAAGCAGAGATTACTCAGTATTGGCATATCCAGCCATGCAGTGGGTGGTTTGTGAACTACCTCTCTGAAAGTTCCCAATGTGTTCACTTTGATGGGCTGTCTTCTGAGTGGTTAAACATCACTAATGGTGTTCTGACTTCTGACTGCTTTGGATATTGTAACTACGCAAGGAATACAACTTGAAGTGGTTACCTGTTACAAATACCTGGGTATCTGGCTTGATGATTGTCTCACTTTTAAATTTCATGTAAATAACCTGCTTAAAAAGCTGAGGGTTAGGCTAGGTTTCTTTTACAGAAATAAGTCCTGTTTCTCGCTTGAGGCCAGGAAAAGGCTAGTCACTGTGACCTTTTTACCTGTGCTGGACTATGGTGATTTGTTATATATGAATGCACCTGCCAATTACCTGAGCAAGTTAGATGCTGCGTATCACAGTGCACTGAGATTTGTGACAAATTGTAAAGCACTTACGCATCATTGTACCCTGTATACCAAGGCGGTTTTGCCATCACTTACTGTACGGAGGCTCAGTCACTGGTACTTTTTCATTTAGAAAGCCATGTTGGATAAACTACCATCTTATATCTGCTCCCTGATCTCTCGGCGAATTGAAAGTACTTATTGCCTGAGATCGCATGCTGTGGTTTTATTAAATGTGCCAAGTGCTAGGACTGTCTTAGAGAAGAAAGCTTTTAGATGTGCAGCTCCACTAACTTGGAACAGTCTGCAAAAATAATGGAAAATTACCAAGCTGGTACCACTACATGTTTTTAAAGCTCGGTTGGATGCTCCACAATCAGATGCTGTTGGTACCTGTACATGTGGATAGATGTGTTGTTCTGTTGTTTATGTTTTTATGTCTTCATGTGGAACCTACTGCTACAGGTCTCCCTTGAAAAAGACATAATTGATATCAATAGGATTTTACCTGGATAAATAAAGGTATTGAATTGAATGTCCAATGAAAACATATCCAAGTGTAACAAACATCCAGTATTAACCTTACTGTTTTTTACCAACAGTAACCAACTAATAATTTTCATAAAGTGCATATTTATTCCAAACTCACAATATATATATAGACCCTCCAGAAAAACGCAGGCAAAAATCCTTGATTATGCGGGCTAAAATCCTTGATTATGCGGGCTAAAATCCTTGATTATGCGATCAAACATGCGGGATTTTATGCGGTGAATTTGCGGGAAGTTGTGAAATATGCTAAATATGCGGAAAAAATAAATATTGGGATGTCTTATTTATTTATTCTCTCTCACACAACCTGCCACTAACGTTAAACCCCTTTACTATACAATTAAACACATTCAATGTTTATTTATTGTAAAAGCAATTGGGCTATTTTAATCACTCTCTCTCTCTCTCACGCACACACACACTTCTCCGCCTCATTCTGTTTTCATTTAATTTCATGTTCGTTATCTGACCAGCTTCAATCTCGTAGGCTTCTCACCTCGTTTCTTGTAGCCCTCGAAAGGGTTTTGGAGGTTGATGCCTCGGTGAACGTGAGTTGTTTGGCTTTCTTGTCCGCAGCAGCAGAAAGCATGTTCGAATGTTTGAATGAATCAAAGTGGGTCGTCACCGTCGATGTTCTCTTATGCTCCAACACACAGTTGCACGGGGTGCAGAATAGTTTCCCCCCACTTTCGTGCAAGACATCGGGGTACTGCTTTGCCCGGTCTTTAGCAGAAATGTTCGTCGGTAAATGAGATGGATTCGATTTTTTCATCTTGGTGTTTTCTCTCGCGTGTGAGCTCCACACGTTCACTCTACGGTGTTGTTTACCTTCTGTGATGCGCGAGCTGATGACGTCCCGTCGTCATCATCATCATCACTTCACGTCAAGACGAGTTAACTTTTTTTTCCTCAACTTTGTGGGGAAAAATGCGGGGATTATGCGGCCTTTTGATAAATATGCGGCCTTTTAAAAATCTGCGCCATTTTGCTGATTATGCGGTAAATTCTGCGATCGCAGAATCGCGTTTTTCTGGAGGGTCTATATATATATATGTAATAAAACAATGCACGATGGTACACAGTATCCAAACTCTTTAGGCACTGGTCAGAGACATTCATGTAAAGCAGATCACCAGAATCCAATACTGGTAAAAACGTTGCAGAGATCAAATGTTTCCTTGTCTGAACGGAGAGACCTAATTTTTAAAATAACATTTTCAGTGTGTGACTTGAAAGATAAATTCTGATCAATAATAAAACCTAGATATGTGTATGTAGTGACCCTTTCAATGTCAATGTCAGTCCCTTGAACAGTACAAATGTTGGGGATTAAAGAAGTTAACTTTTTGCCATTTGAGAATATCATGAGTTTGGAGTTGTCTGCATTTAATACTAACTTGAGTTGAGATAAATGGGATGGAATAACATCAAAGGCAGACTGGAGGAAATCAAGACTTTGATCTATAGAAGAGGATGAACAATAAATAACATCATCTGCATAAAAATGGAAAGCGGCATTTGATAAATTATTAGAGATTATTTACATATATGGTGAAATTATTGGTCCTAGTATGGAACCTTGGCGTACACCCTTTCAAATCAAATCAATCAAATCAAGTTTTATTTATATAACACATTTATAAACGATTTTTGGTCGAGCCCAAGTGCTGTAAAAATAATAAAAATAGCCTACAGTAGAGACACTTTACAGCAAATATAACAGCACAGATTGTTCAGAATATCAGTATGAGAAAAACGACACCCTCTGTCCTTAGACGCTCTGTCCTTAGACCCTCTATCATTAGACCCTCTGTCCTTAGACCCTCACATCGTACAAGGAAAAACTTCCAGAGAAAACCCACAGTTTAAGGGGAAAAACCTCAGGGAGAGCAACAGAGGAGGGATCCCTCTCCCAGGACGGACAGACGTGCAATAGATGCCGTGTGTATAGACCGAATGTTAGGAAATGCATGTGTCTGTAATAAGAAGATGAATCCACGAGGATGTCAGCTACAATCCTGTGGAAGCCATCAGGGAAGCAGCATGACGAGACCCAAGGCAGGACCGCAGAGACAGGTTCAGCCACGACCCGAAGTCCACGACTTAATCCAGAACTCAGGATAGAGGATCCAAGACACAGGACTACAGCAAGAGGATCAGCCTCGACTCCGGATCCCGGCCTAGATATAGATACAAAACAAGAACAAAGATTTGGCTGGGTTAATCGGAACAAGAGAATACACAGACACAGACGGAAGAACAAGCACTCCCTTAGGATAGGTTGAGGGAAAAGGGTAGCAAATAAGAAAGGGTTACTTATTTTTACTATTTATTATTACTTAAGGGTTGTTTATGCATACCTTTATTTTTTATCCGGGGGGTGTATTTCGCTGTCGCACGTCCGAGTCCAGCTTCAGTTAGCGTTGATGCTCCAAGCAGGTCAGTTATGTTTTAATTTGCCCTCCATCAGTTCTGGTATCTTTTTCTAGTTATCCCTAACTATATCATTTTATTTCGTAATAGTAATGTTAATGAACCCTCCGGTTTAGCTTCTTTGTGTAAATAACTTGTAGTTCTGATGTTAAAACCGAACTTTTCAGGAATAGTAGCTCGGGGAGTGATTTTTTTTAAATATGCATAAAGAAAAGGTAAATCTGTTTACAGTTCAGACTCACGGAGGTCTTGGGGGAGGGAGTTCCAGAGCTTCGGGGCTGCCACAGAGAAGGCTCTATCCCCGAAGCTCCGGAGTTTGGCCTTGGGGATGGAAAGCAAACCGGCTGAGATGGATCTGAGGGACCGGGGTGGTCGGTAGAGGATGAGGAGTTCAGTGAGGTAGGGGTGGGGGGGTGACCGGAGTGGCTTTGTTCTTCATTAGTTTGTCTTTATCTGTTTTAAATAACGTAGATACAATTACATTACTTCATTAATTGCAGTGACAATTTAGTCTATTCTGACATTTGTTTGTGTGAGTTAATCTTTACCTATGATATCTGGTTGCAGAAGGGACTGCAATAGCCTGGATGTTGGTCATCAGAGTAGATGCCCTGCAATTCTCCTCTTTTACCTTTCCCAACATATCCTATGAAGAGAAAAAGAAAATATTGTAATTGAATCACACAAGGACCACAACACATTAAATATGTAATGACACATAAACATTATTATCCAGAATGAGAAGTCTACCTGGTTTGCAGTTTTTGCTCCAAGCATCCACGGCAGGTGTCAATGGTGTACATGACGTTGAAATCCTGCTTGTATGAAGCAGAGAACCAACTCCATGTAGCAACACCTGTGTAAAACAAGCATTTCTTTCTTTCAGTCTTTATTTCAATAGAGCCAGTAAAAATATGCATAGACTCCACAGCTGTCGTATACTGCTGCACCTTCACTGAATCACTTACTCTCAAGCCAGCGAAAGTGGGCCCCTCTTCTGAAAGACACAGTGGACATTGTGTCTCTGAAGGTGGTACACACTAGAGCGAGTGTTGAGTACGCTTTTTCACCTTCCTGGAGAACTATTTCCATCAGAATGTCCGAAAGAAGACAGTTTGGCAGCTGTGAAGTATTGGTCAGACTAGATCAAACATATTTAACACATTGACTAGACTGTTGCCAGCACAATCGAAATACCAAGATTCTTTGGGCTTCAGGTAGAAAAAATACACATTTTTAATATTAATGTTGAATATGTCACACACATTTTTCTTATGTTTTGTTATTCTTCTCCTTGAGGTAAAAAACAGCTATCAATAAAGTTAAAAAAAGCAGTGAGACATAATAGTTGGAAATTCTGCCGTGATCACAGGTCGTTTTTTAAACAAAAAACAGTTACTGCTTAACTGAAAATATATTTCCTCCAATATGAAGCACATGTCGGACTTTTGAAACTGGACCTTTGAAGGAAAATAGAAGGTGTGGGTCATGTGATTATTTAAATACATGTGTATACAATTATCAATATTGATATGTATGCATGTGTTAAATAATCTGGATTGTTACATTTGTTTATCACAAACAGGAGTGTGCCTATCGGCCTCATGCTCACCTCATGTTCTGTCTTTTGCTTCTTTGGGACCCTGTACACTGGCTCCAGTGCCTCATTGGTCCAGTAAGAAAACCTCTGTCCGTGGCTATAAAAATCACATAATATCAAGATGAAAATGTAAATCAGTGTCAAAGAAACTGTTGTCTATAAAGTAACATTTAAAAGGTATGATTTACCCTTCAATCTGGTACCGTTCCATCAGCATAATGCACCACCATTTCTGGATCTGTGCTATGTCCCGCTAAAAGAAAATGTAACAATAATAAAGTTGAAAATGAATGAAACCTCATCATTTGTCTACTCAATGTTAGCCCCCTCTTCCCCCTGAAATACTAACTCAGAGGATAAATACTGACCTCGGTAAACCAAAGTGGAGCATCTGTGCTGAAGTTCAGTGCATACTGTGAAAGGATAAAGATCTGTTAAGTTATGAGTTTTAAAAATTAACAAAACCCCTTAAAAAAAAGTGTCAAGAGAGGAATTGACCATCAGTATGAAGACACCACAGTCATTGCCCGTGGTTTGGTGAGGCAAACCCTGTAAGCATTTGGAATATAACAGTGATGTGCATGGTCAAATGGAAAATAAAGACATGTGAAAGCAGGTGTATGAGATGGTGGAGAAATGTACCTTGACGTCTCTGCCGAACTTTACTGTCCACTGACCTGGAGCAATGCGGTGCGCTAGGTCACTGTCAAAAGAAATTATAAGACATGGGAATTGATTTGGTGAATTCATGTTTTTGGATTTCCTTACATTGAACATGCCTTGCCTTAAAAGAGGAAAGTTATGAAAGCCACTGAACGGGGCTAAAATAAAACAAACAAAAAGACGTTTACCAGCCTCTGAACAAAGCTGAACTTGAAAACAACCTTTGAACAAGGCTTATAACAAAATGAACATTATAATTCATAGCATCCTGTTGCAGACTTTTTTTTTTGGTTCCACTAAGGACACACCAGACTTTGTAGAAATGGAGATATATTATAAATGAATTTGATCAGATTCAGACCCCTGGTCTACAAGATGGTTACTGCAGTATTATAATACTATAAACTATTTAGAATTCACATACAAGCCACAGAACGGGGCTGGGTAATCATTTTACAAAAACCTAAATATGTCCTTGTAGGAACTGTCACCAAATCCATCTGGCTTAAGAGGGTCGAGCAAATATAACTCTCTTTGCTGGCTTGATCACCTGTCAACCATTGACAAAACAGCTAAAATGAGACATAATTCAACACCAGAAGAAAACCACACAGCACAACTTGTGTTCATTTTGTACCAGCTGGTGAGATCATTTGGAACAGACTCACGCAAAGCAAATATTTTGGTGACCAATTGGTCAGCCTAGCATTTTAAACAAGGGATTTTAAGTTGCTGTATATCAATGTCAAGCAACATAGAAGGTCTCAAGCAACAGGAACTTACTGGAAAACTGGCCAACGCGTCAGCTGTTTTGGACTTCCAGGTAGGAACCACATACATATCCACGATATATATATCTTTGCCCTATATTGATAGTTTTCCAAAATAAATGAAATCTTCATAGAAGTATGTTCAACAACAAGAGAAAACCACACTTCACGAGATTGGAGTTTCACCACTAAACAGCTATTTAGAAAATATGTGTTATTCAAAAGAAAAAAGCAGGCCAATGATGTCTGTTGAAAACCGTACATGTCCTTGGGTGGCTTATTGTACCATCTTCAGGCACGTGTTTCCAATCTGAAACAGTAACAACAGTAAGTTACCTGTGCCATTTATTTTAGACAAGATAAAGTTGGCAGGAAAGCTCAAGTATACCTACATTTGACTCCATGCACTGAGGAAGACCCAGGCTCCAAAAGTCCTCTGGTCAGGCACACATCCCCTTCCTTTACAATGACCTCTGCTCCAGGCCTATCGTGGTCTAGCACATAGCTGAGCTGCAAATAACAGATTGCAAAAAATACTTCAAGCCAATAGAAAACATAGACAAATTAAAATCAAAACAATGCACCTACCAGCTTGTCTTGAATCGGATGTAGATCCTTTGCGTATTTCACACCAGAGAGGGCATACTGGTGGTCAGCAACTGATCCCTCCGAATCCAACTTCGGTTCAGCTGTTATTAGATAGATAGACAAAAAATAAACAGTATTATTGAAGTACCACACATGAAGTATACCTAAAATGTGTCCTTGTATTGATAATCAAAATACCTCTCAACGTAGGCCTGATAAAGGGCTTCAGCTGAGACACATTCACACCCTGTCTCAGCTGAGCTCCTGTTGAGCTCAACAGGGTTGCCACACCCTTGTTGGTGATTGAGGAAACCACATAAGGGCCAAACCAGTTGCACTCCAGTTTTCCACCTTTTCGGCCCTCCTTCCTCTTATTCACTCTTAGGACCTCATCTCCAACGTTAATCAGGAACGATTTTACATTCTTTCCCTTGCGTTTTTCATAAGAGATATTCTGTCTCTGTTGTGCTATTTGGATGTTTTGCTAAATCTGAGAAAGACATGTAACAGTTATCATTTACAGTCCTTAACATACGCTAGCATTTTTTAGGAGTTATTATGTTTTAAATATTGCCATTTTATTCTCACCTTCGAGTACAAATCTGCAATGGTTTCAGGCTTTGCCTCAAGCTGCTGTTCTGCCTCATCAGCAGGCACCAAAACAGAGGTATCATCCCCGTCATTGAGTGTAGCATTTATAACACCCGGGACGCGAGGGGGGCCCCCAAACTGGGCAAAATAGGGCGTGCACTTGGTTGACCTCTGAAAGCATAAAAATTCCTTTTAGTATCTCTGTTGAGTATTGTTTCCATCTGCATTTGTTACAACATTGTACCTGCTTTGAGGTGTTAATGCTCGCCACAATGCCCCTCAGGTGTACATCCCAGTCATTCTGGTCCTCTCCACAGTACTTTGCAAGTGCTTTTTTGATGGTTTGGTTTGTGCGCTCATCTTGGCCATTGCACTGGGGATGGTACGCTGAAGTGATGCAGTGTTTTACACCCAGTGCATCGAAAACACCACGGTTTACCTGCAGATGGTTTAGTGTACACCAATTACCAAATTACCTGAAAAATCGTATTACATTGTTACACATAACACATACACTGTATTAGATAGATTATTGTACCTCATTGACAAATTCCCATCCTTGGTCGGTAATGATCTTCTCGACAAGCCCGAAATCGAGAAGAATATTTACGATCTTTTTTGAGACCTCAGCAGCTGTTTTGTGGTAGAGCGTTTTTGCTACCACCCACTTCGTGAAAAGATCAGTCGCTGTTAGAATGTATCTGCAATATAAAATGCAGAATGTTGTAAATACATACGGAGTCACTGTCAATTATTTCCTTTCTTTTTAAACCAGATTCTTCACATTTAGAACCTTTTAAAGGAGGTTACACATGCTTCAGCCCATCATGATAGTACCTTTTGCCCTTAGCAGTGGAGTTAAGTGGGCCAATGAGATCCACACCAAGGACAGTCCATGCCTCGGGAACATGAATCGGATGCAGTACGGGTGCAACCGTTTTAATGACCTTGTGTTGCTGGCAGTGGGGACACTCATCAACCTTAGCAAAAATATTACATTTTCAATCAGCAAAACAAAAAATGTTAGGTATAAAAATGATAGAACAGAGAAAACTTTCAGAGGAGACAGAATTAAACAGTTCAAGTTCTGAAATATGTTTTTAGACAGCTCTGATGGAGCTCAAACTGTCTCAGTCTGTTTCAATGTACACATACAACCAGTGTTCGAAATGGGGGGGAGCCAGGGGGAGCTTGGCTCCCCCGAAGGCCGACTTTGAGATAAATAGGGGGAGCCCAAAAAAATCGTGCATATTTGTGTCACACAGATTAGAAATGTTGAGTTTCTGTAAATAAAAGTTCTTGAAATAAATTATAGGCATTGTTCATTACAGTTTCTGAATATTCGTTTTACATTTGTGAATATTTCTGTGTGTTGCTCTGTACGTGGCGGTGCTGCATTGTTTACGCTACTTACGTTGCTATGGTTACGGTGGCGCCGGCGCGGGATTTGAAATGTTCATATTGATGTTGTTTACTAAATAATAAAGAAAATGGCGAAACGAAAACAGCCCAGCCTCGCAGCTTTTGGTTTCACGACTAAAGAAGCAAAGGAGTCGAAAAATGAAGATGTCAACCGGACAACTTTTAGTTCGCCAGCTGTTAGCGGCTGTAGGGTCGATTTTGACAGCTCCACTCAGAGGGAAAGGCCTGCCGATGTGGAGCCAGAAGAGGCTTCAGAAGAGGCTTCAACAATGGCCACAGCCGCCGGTTCGACCTGCACTAGCGAACCTGACGCTGACGATGCCCATGATGGCCTGCCTTTTAACTGGACACTGAAAAGATGTAGTGAGTGGAAAGAAAAGTATCCATGGCTTTTCATAAAAAATAAAAAATTTGGATGTGAGATTTGCAAAGACGCAAAAACAATATTGATCTCCTTGCCTCTCGGAGAGAAATCCACCGGAGTGCACCTTTCACCAGAATGGATTCAGGGACAGGTCAGCTGTGATCAACAAAATAACCTGCGAAAAAAGATTTATAAGCACGATAAGAGCCAGGCACATGAAAAGGCAATTGCAATTTCGGAGATGAGAAAGAAAGATGTCCTGCCAAACAAGGTATTAGCAATCAATGCTGATCTAATGCATGAGACATATACATCGTTCAGATCTGCGTATATGATTGCCAAAGAAGAAATGTCATACAGAAAGCTACCTGCTGTAATGTTCCTACAACAACTCAATGGTGCTACGGTATGGACTGTGCACAAATCGGACCATGCCTGTGCTGAAATAATCAGGCATATCGCAGAGGAAATGAGAGCTAAATTCGTTTCCAACATAAAAGACATGGGCTCACTAATTAGTATCACAATAGATGAGAGCACAGTTCATGGGCGGGCCTACATGATTATTTACGTGCGATGTGACATGACAGGAAAAGGGGAAGTGGACAATGTTTTTTTGGATATTGTTGAGCTTTCAGAAGGTACGGATGCTAACTCGCTGTACAGCAGTTTGAGGAAAAGCTTAAAACAAGCTGGATTGGATGACGAGTTCTTGGGGAAAAATCTCATCTCAATAGCAACGGATGGAGCAGCAGTACTCACAGGCAGAGTTGGGGGACTTGTGACAAAACTCAAACAGGATTTCCCCAAAGTGCAGTCTATTCACTGTCTATCCCACCGACTAGAATTGGCTGTCAAGGATTGCCTTAAAGAAGTAGCTGGGTGTAATCAATTTGAGTTTTTTGTTGCAAAACTATATGCTCTCTATCACCAGTCAACAAAAAATGCCCGTTTGCTCCAAGAAGCAGCAGCAGAATTAAACGTGCAAATATTGAAAATAGGCCAAATCTTCACTATTCGTTGGGTGGCTAGTAGTTTTCAGACTGTGAAAGCTGTCTGGAAAGATTATCCCGCACTGGCACGCCAATTCAAAACCGCAACAGACGACACATCATCTCGCAGTGACACAGAGAGACAGAAATTCAGGGGACTGCACAAACTCCTCACGAGCACTGGATTTCTGGCTGATTTGGCAACAATGAAGGATGTTCTTCGAGAACTTAAAAGCCTGTCGCTAAAACTGCAACGCAGAGAAACATCTTTGGTAGATGCAAGTTGCTACATTCAGCAGACCATCGATGTGTTGACAGCTATGAAAACCAGTGGCGGAAAGTCCACACAAAAAGTGGAAGAAGGCATTGCTACTGGCATGTTCAAGGATGTTGAGCTCTCAGAGAACAGGCCCAAGATAAACCGTCTGCAGTTTTACCAGTCTATAATAGACAGTTTGAAGAAGCGACTGCCTGAACCGGACCTGGTCCGCATGCTGAAACCACTGGACAAGCGCTTTTGGCCCGAACAACGGAGCGCCCTGATCCTCTATGGGGAGAATGAAGTACGCGCACTGGCAAAAGTACTGGGGGAACCGGCCCGAGAGGCCATTGAGGAGTTTCGGGACTACAAATTAGAGAATAAATCTCCAGGGAAAGCCCTGCAAAAACTGCAGACAGCGAGCAAGACCTTTTTGCCTACATCAGCTGAGTGTGAGAGGGGGTTTTCTGCCGTCAATTCGACCGACACCGACAAACGCAACAAGTTGCGGGAGAAGAGCCTCTTCTCACTTCTCTTCGTAGACATCAATGGCCCCCCCCTGGAGCAATTCGACCCTCAGCCATTTGTACGGTCTTGGATCAAAGCTGGCCACAAACCCTCCACATCCTGGGTTCCGGGACCGAAAGCGAAGAAGAAGCCGCCCAGGTCCCTGTGGTCGCTTTTACAGTAAGGTAAGAGAGTATATTTTACTGTTTGAGCTTTTTGTTTGTTTGGACTGGCCCCAGTCCTACTGTTGATATCATTTTTGGTTGTGGGATTTATTAGGTTTTTATCAGACTGATTGACTTGCGTATAGTCTAATCAATCTATAGGCGTTGCTCTTTCAGCAACACACACACACAGGTTTCATAGCCTGCT